GAAACTTCACTCCCATCCTGCCTGGATGAGAATACCTTTTAGGGAGCAGGGCGATGTGAACTTCAATGGAAACGTGATGCTATTCAGAAAATTGTGGGAAAATTCAGCTACCAGTCCTTGAGTATATTATATAAAATAGGGTGAATACAATTTTTATGCAATTTGTTTGGAATGCCCATTAGTCTAACATCCTGTTGTGATCGGCGACACAATTTCCTCAGGTGTGTGGTCCGAAAATATAAACACTTCTTGTGCAATTATATTACGCCGTGAGCCCTACTCATCACATCCTGGGGTACTCAACTATTACTCTTAACATCATCTCAAGAGTTATTATTCAATACTAGCTGATTGTTTAGAAATATTTTCTTACACAAATAAAATGGAGAATTGACATTTGCTTTAAGGCACCTTTTGCCTGATTCTGTTACATTCGGTGATATTGACAATAATCACAATCACTTTACAAATTATAAGGACCCTCGTATTATGTGTTAGAGACCTGTTTTGTCATATAGTTCACAAATTCTGTACAACACGACGGCATTGGATCTTGTAGCTAAGGGGAGACAAGTTGGATTTGGAAATCACTTCTCCAGATATACCACTCTTTTTGGGTTATCGTTCCAGCTAAACCACTTTGGATGGGAGCACTTTTCTCTTCTTCAATGGATGCTGATGCTTCGTGCACCACAAGGCCTCCAATTTACTCTATCATCATGGAAGAAACACACCCTTTTCAACGAGCAACTGAGCGCACAACTGAGTATAGACTCATACACCGCGCAATTTCTTATGAAAGCAGAATTAAACTAATTTATTTTTCGTATGTGAGTAGAGTCCCGAGACTACCAGTAAATTAGTAATATGATATGTATTCACCCAATTTTATTTAAGGTGATGAAAGAGTGGTAGTAGAATTTTCCCATAACGATATGAGTAGAGCTGATGTTTCCATTGAATTTCACATATCCTTGCTTTCTCGAAAGTTGTTCTCATCCAAGGTGGACTGCAGTGGCCTGAGGGACTACCAGTCCTTCATCACTTTAAACGAAATAGGGTGAATACATCTCCTAAACTAATTTAGTCAATGTGTTAAGTGACTTTTACTAGGCACAAGAATGTATAACTTAGTGAGTTATTTCAGAGCGAAAGGTTTAGATGAATGTGACGTTTAAAGAACAATCTTTAGGATGCGATCGAGTATCTTGTTTTAGTACTAATTAATATCAATTTTTTAAGCTACCATTCTTGCTTAGGCTAAAATATTTTAAAGTATTTAGTGAAAATCCTTCCAGCATCTCATTCTTCAATAACCGACCGCGTTATAAAACCAGTCTCAGTATTCCATCTGATAGTCATCGTGGCAAATAGTTAACTTCGTCACCTCAGACTTAACGACATAAATGTGAACCTAATTTTTAGGATAATATAGCTTTATCACTCTAAATTCATAGGCTCTTAGCTCTGAAGCGGCAATAACGGTTTTTCCCCTGAATTGAAGCGGATTAATCCGCTCATTTTTATTTTTTACATGGTGTAAGTCATATGAAATGGAGTAGTCTGACATACTGGAAGAGATGAGCTTAAGCGAATTCCAACCAACCCTTTCTTCTCCTAGCCAATAGCATTCTTAAGCTTCTGGATCAGTTTGACCCTTTCGTCAAAGTTGACCTCAATGCCGCCGGAGCATTTAACTAATCTGAGCAGAATATGGGTATATGTACTAGAAAATATTTTTACATTATCCATCATAGAGATAACAATACTTTTTGATAACGAAAGTTTTCCTTATCCTTTTTTTTATTAAGCAGGGCTTTTAGATAGATTACATAAAATAAGATATAAAAGTTTTACATCGTAGATACAAAAAAGTTTTGGGTTGGCAGGCTGAGTTAAAGCAAGATTGCATACCTTTTGCAAGCAAGCAAGAATCTGTCTCTGTTGCCGCGTTGAAGGACATTTCGAAATGGGTCAGTTAGAGCCCTGGCGGTAGTCTCGTCGCGGTCACCTGACAGAATGAAGCATACTGTCGAGAGAGTGCCGGCTCCGGGCATCACGCCAGTGGTTACCACAAGTTCGTAAAGGTATTCGTCGTCTGGATCGTTTTCCTTGAGTGGTGTAACGCCCAGCTTTGAGGGGAAAACGGAAAGAATGCTCAAATTGCTTTATATCCAGCGACTTAAATACAGAAAGTAAAGTAATACATTTGTATAAGATCTCAGCGATAAATTTAATCTTATTTGTTCATCTCAGAATCAGTACACTTGCAGAAGATCGGATTGTTTGAC